GTGGTTCTCCTTTGGACCCTCCTGTAATTAGCTCATCTTGAGCACAGGATGGAGCTCCTCAGACATCACTGAGTGCCAGTGACGAGACTAGCTCTGTGCTGAGAATTAGGCGGTGGCACAAAATGTTTAAGGCACAGCCCTTACTCTTGTGGAGTTCACTGTCTGGCTAGGGAAGAAAGATACACACACAGTCAGCCATCAAGGATCTCAGGCTGAGAAAGGACCCACAGATCATCTAGTCCAACTTCTATCCAATGCCCAAAGTTCTGGACACCACGCCTGCCCTGCCTCAGCTTGCACACCTCCAGTGACGGGGAACTCACTCTGTTCCAAGGTGGGATTGTCCTTGCCTTTATCTGGCAATATTCTACTCATGCTTTTAGGCCCAGTTCAAAGGTCACCTCCATTCCTGAGCATTCCTCACTACTGGAACAAACACACTTCCTCAGAGGGAGAGAAACTGACCCTGTGTAACTCCCACTCCTTGGAGCCACATGAAAACAGGCACACCCCTCCCCCATGTCATGGATGATAGTAATGACCTCCCTCATCCTGTCGGGACCGCTGCTTCTCCAGCCAAGCACGCTGTTCCAAACCGCCCCATCCCCGGGGTTCTGTGAGCAGGAGCCCGGGCTCACCTTCTCTGTGCAGAGGTCCACACACTTGTCCACGGACATGTTCGGCATGGCGGCTGTCATGGGCAAGGCCAGGGAGAGGTTGTCGGGCCTGCGGAAGCAGCCTCGGAAGACCGCGCTTCCATCTGGAGAGCCAGAGGGAAAAGGAATCATCAGATCCAGGCTGGGAGAACCGCCTTCTGATGGAAGGAAGCGCTTTTAACCCCGAAGCCCAGAGAAGACAAGAGTCTTGCCTAAGGTCACACAGGAAACCAAAGCGGAGCCTAACGAGCTAGGTCATTCAAGGTTCTCCTCAATCCCGGCATCTCTGTCAGCAGTCCAGGTCACGGAGATGTGCCTGCTGGGCCCCATTATCCCCTTTTTCTGTGTCATAGTCCTGTGTCTCGCTTCCTCGTTCTCAACGATGGCAGCTCCCCATGCAAGGAGCTGAGGGATGCCATGGAGGGCCAAGCATGTGGGAACTTTGAGGATGGAGGCAAGCGAAGGGCCCAGGGCTGACCTGCCCCTCCTCACAGCACCGGGGTGCCCCTCTTCTCCCAACATCCTGGGCTTTAGGGGAAACTCCTGGGCGTCAGGGGTCTCTGCCCACCCCGTGCTGAGCATCTTCAGGCTACAAGGGACTGATCCGTCAAAGGGACTCCTTTTACGGTAACCTAGTTTGGAAATATCCCAATTGTTGGCGTTAAGGAGATAAAGGAGACTTCCTCTGAACAAGTGGGTGGGCCTCACCCAATCAGTTGAAGGCCTCAAGGGCAAAACCGAGGCTTCCCAGGGAAAGAAGGAATTTGACCACAAGACTGCAGCATGAACTCCTGCCTGCAATCCAGCCTGCTGGTCTGCCCTACAGACTTACCAGCTTCTACAATTTTGAGAGCCAATTCCTTAAACATACCTCTTCTATCTATCTATCATCTATCTATCTATCTATCTATATCTATCTATCTATCTATCTATCTATCTATCTATCTAATCTATCTAGTCTCCTGATTCTGTTTCTCTGGAGAACACTCGACTGACAGAGTAGGATTATAGGCAATTTTTATTTCCATCTTTTTTGTAAAACTTTTCTCGCTTTTCCTACAGTGACTATGTATTTTTTTAATGTAATGAAGACACATTTTTTTAAAAAGTGGCTCCTGTCAAATCTATTGAAAGGCTCATAAGGCTCATTTAAAATTGGGTTCAGTTGCTCTCAAATGTGAGTTGTCTATGCCGATAGAGAGGCATTCCTTTCACAGAAAACAAAGGATGTTGTTGGTGTAGCGTGGATCAAACCCAGGAGCACTAAATAGGGACATTTATCGAGTGCTACGTGTGATCAGCTCTGCCGAGAACTCTCCAAACATCGTCTCATTGACCTTGAAAACTCCCCAAGGTCTGTAGTCAGCTTTCATTTCACAGATGAGAGATGCAGGGCTTAGAGAGGGGCGGCTCTGTGACAAACCTGAGGGCTCACTTTTAGCAAAAAACTTACTGAGGATTATCTCAGGGATAAAAAAAAAAAAAAAGGTTAACCTTTGGGAAAAAGGAGGGGGGAGAGCGGAGGGAGTTTAAAAATGACAATTTTTACATTTCAGCTGTCACAGGCACCCTAGTGATTATTTCTACCACCTGGTGCCCAGTAGCCTGCAGTTGTTCATTCTGCAGAGTCCAATCTTGCAAACTAAGAAGACATCTGGAACTTGGGTAAATGGCTAATTTCCAGAACATGCAGCAGGCTTGCTACCTTTCCCCATCTCTGGCTCCAGGCTGGTGAGAGAGGCAGTGCCAACGTTGGTGGTGGTTGGGGGTGGTCAGGGGGTTGCTGACTCACCGTGTGGCCCTCCAGGCCTCAGTTTCCCCACATATACATGGCAGGGAGCGGGGGTTAGACTATGCGGTGATTCTGTTCTGTACAGGACAGCCCTTCTTCCCCCTCCCCCCATCCCCCGCCAAATGAGGAATTGTCACACTCCAAATGCCACCAGCACCCTGTGGGGGAACATGGCCTGGGGTGCTGAGAGGGAAGCCCCGTAATTTCATCAGCCACCCCAAAGAAGATGTAGTGATGCCCACAGAAGGTGTCATACAAGGTGAGGGCAGGGAGGAGATCATGCATTTGAGCTAAAGATTCTCAGCAATGAGATGGGAGACCTGAAACCGTGTGCGTGAACCTTCACTTAACCAGAAATCTCAGTTAGCCAGATGCCAACTCTGGTCACAGAGCGATGAGATGCTGGCCTTACTCTCAGAAGCCCAGCAGCCAGGAGCCAGGAGCCAGGAGCTCTGGTCCTGACTTTGCCGCTGCTCCCTGGAATGCAGTGTCTACACGGGTCAAACAGGCAGCCCTCCTCCACAGGGCGCCCATTGGCAGCTCCACCCTTCCTCACCCTTTGAACTTGGGCAAGTTTCCGGTCCTTTTGGAGCCTCAGTGTTTTCACCTTTAAAATGGGGGCATGACTATTGTGTGGATCATTCAGAGACGGACAGGGATGAGCCTTGTGAGCTGTGAGTACAGTAGAAAGGGCAGGCGAAGGTCTGTGGATCTGTCTGTCTGCTTGCCAGCTGCCCTCAGACTTAAATGGAAAAGGAGAGGAGGAAGTCGAGCCCCTACCCTGGCATCTCCTCACAGGATCTTTCTCTTGCTTTCCTGGACGTCAGGAGGCCAGACTGCAAGGGTGGGAAGAGGAAGTTAGACTCTGTAAGCTCAGCTCTGCTGAGGTGAGTCTTCCTCTGACATTTAAGCATCTGCTAATGAGTCCCTAACCCTCTCAGTTTAGAGAGGAGGACTGAGCTGAGTGCCCTGAATACCAAATAAGGTGAGGTTTTCAGAGGCCTTAAAGGGCCAGAGAGAAATCAGGAACTACTGCTGTGAATCTCTCTTTGGCCAAGGTGTGTGCTGGGGATGGGGGTAGGGAAGGGGACAAGTTTGGGAAGTTGGTTCCAGGAGCAGTTGATCTGTTGGATATGGGGTCTTCCTACAGTCCTGCCCTTTTTGCTTTTGAGGGAAACCACAAGGTCACCGAGGACTCCCAGGGATGTGGGGAGCACTTTGAAGGCCACTTCTCTCAGCAGGTTGATCTCCATTGTGGCATGGTGATCAAGACACTGAGAATATTCATGGTTGCCAAGATACTTAATCCTCCTACCCTCATTTTCTCCATCTGTAAAATGGGTCACCTGGTTCTCCCCATCAGTGGTTAGAGGCTCTCTCATCTCTTATGTCTGCAAATGAAAGAGAAGTGGCCAGCCTGGAGCCCTCAACCTTCCTAACACTCCCCTGTGACATAAAGAATTTGGGACTTTCAAGCAGAGTGGGTAGACACCTCTCTGTTTGCAAAAAGCTCTGGTGCCCAGTGGAAAGGGAGTTGGTTTTAAATTCAGACAGACCTGAGTCAGCCACTTACTTAGCTGTATGTCTCTGGCAGGTGTCTTCATTTCCTTGGTTTCCTCATCTGTAAATGGGGATCATCATATCTACGCTGCACAGTTGGGGGCGGGAGTCCTTGCAAGGACATTGCCAGTGCTCGAGATCTAACCAGGACTCAGTCAATGTCTCTTCCTGCTCCTTTCTCCATCACCTGTCCATGATATGTGAAGGGTTGCTAAATCCTATGCTGGGGACACTGTCAGTGCCTCATCAATATGCCCCTGGCACTCACCGTCCCATTATAGGCTGACAGCGAACTATAATAAACACCCAGTGCTCTGCCTCAGGGCCTGTGAGAGATGGGATGGACCTATAGGGAGCTAATCTCCCTGGGAACCACCTTTAGCCAATGATGTTAGTCAAAAGTGGCAAGATAAATACTACAGCTTCCTGCCCCTTCTGGGGGCTACCTCTGAAGTATGGTCTCCACCTAGGGTTTCCCAGTGAGACTAAGCTTCAGTTGTCCTCAGTAGTGACCTGCTTTGAAAGGACCTTGCATTGATTGGTTCCTTCCCTTCCCTGTCTCACTTCCCCACACCCCTTCAGGTGCATCCTGGGATCACCTCCCAAGCAAATCAAGGTTCTCGTCCTTGTCTTCAGGAGAACCCAACTTACAATATCTTAGATATTTGAGTGTTTTTAACACACAGGGACACCCTGCACTGAATTCAGGGCCACTGTCCTTCACAGACATGGTCTGTGAGAATGGTGCTCCCTGGGGTTTAGCAGCACACAGCCCGTGGACAATACCAGTGATGCTGAGTAGTGTCTTCCTAATGACCAACACTTACTAAAGAATAACAGCAGTGGTCATAACATCAACTGTCTATTGCATGTCATTAGCACTAAGTATGTTACCCATATTGCATCTCAATTAATACTCACCACAACCTATGAGGTAGACGATACTATTACCCTGTTCTGCAGACAGAGACCCTGAGATGGAACAGATTTGATCACTTTTCCAGGTCACACAGTGAAGAGCAGAGTTGGGATTTGACCCCCATCTTGTCTGACATCACATCCTAGTTTCCCACCTCTCTGTTCTTCTGCAGGAGGCCTGCCCAATGCTAATATGGCTGAGCTCCAGAGACCCCACACCAGCCACCTGAATTTCCCAGAAACCTTCTCAGGCCCCGCAGTAGGGGTCCAAGGATCACAAAAGCCCATGCCCCACATTCTGACAATGTCAGCTCTTCATTGCCAGGCCAGCTGCGATGGTACATGACCTCAGCAGCTTGGGGTTTTTATTAGCAAGAGGCGAGCAGAGCAACTGTTCATTGAATCTCTTTGCTGGGGACAGGTGAAGAATAGCCCAGAATAAGCCACAAGTATCTCTGAAGTCTTATCATCTCTTTATTCTGGGGCTTCACACACACAAAAAAATGAGGTAAATGGCATCAGGCCTCAGCTTAAAGGCAGGTGTGGAAGAGTTCTCCTTGGTTTGAAAAAGTCCCCCCCCCCGCCCCGGTAATTAGGCCAAGCTCTACAGCATTCAAGATGCCAGTGAGCTGGGAGCTGCTAACAGCTACCTATAATCAGAGAGATTGAATTACACAAAGGCCTAACTGTCTGAGGAGAATTCAAACCAGCCATTTTTAGGCATCACCAAAGGCTCCTGAGGACTGTGGGAAATCCAAGTAGCTTGAGTTGGGTGCTTCCCAGGGTGAACTGAGGAGTTTTCATTTTAGGAAGAAGGGGGCATCACAACTACTCTGGAACAGGCACTGTGCCAGGTGCTGTCTCGATTTTAACTCACTGGGTGGTCATAGCCATGTTTAAAGGTTAGCATTGTCCCCATTGTACAGATGAGGCACTTGAGGCTCAGAGAGAATATGTAGCTTGGCCAACGGCAGCGCAGCAAGTAAGCGAGAGAGCTGACATAGAAACAATGTCTGCCTGATTTCAAAACCCACATTGCTCCCATAGCCTTCCCGGATTTTCTTAGGGGAGAAGAGCACACCAATTCTCCCCCATCATCATGGAGGAGAAAAAAAAAACTTCTAGCTATCATCTTCTTGGTTCTACACAGCATAAGTCATGACGGCCCGTATGAATTATAAAATTCAGGAGTCCCAGACATATATCAAGGGCAAGGAGAAGCATCCAAGCCTGGAAAAGAAGGAGCTGGAAATGGTCTATCCATCAAAATGTGACTTTCCATGATCATCTGAGGCTCCCCTCAGCAGAAGTGGTTAGAATGGAGTATCAGTGAGCATAAAGCACACGCAGCGAACACAATTCCCCTTCTAACATTAGAAGACAAAAAAAAATGGCCGGAACTAACAATGGTACACAAACACTACGTGAATTGTGAACCATAAATAAAGGACCTATTTTTTTTTTCAGTGATGGTGTAAGCTTCATACTTTCACCAAGATAGAAAAGAAACAAGAGGAAAAGGTGTGGGCCCTGGGAGAGGCGGGTCTGCAGTCACGGGGCTTTAGGCGGCACCAAAGGATGGTCAGCACCATGGACAGCCACCCACGGGCTGGCCACGTATGCGTTCTGTGCAGTGTTAATAAACGTTGCAACACAACTCTTGTAAGAATCTTTCAGGCAAATGAAATTTCTGGCAACACCCTATAAAGCCATAATGCTCTCAAATCACCAGCAGGTCTCTGCCCCTGGGAGGAGACCTACACTTGCCGACACATTTAGCAAACTGCTGTGAAAAATGTAATCCAACCAAGGAGGAAGTCCATTTCTCGGTTCTTTTGTAACAAGGGCAATGAGTACATGTGCCTGAGAGTCTGTGTTGAGGCAGAATAGCAGGGTGCCTGCAGACATTTGCTCTGCCAACTTTTTAATGCTCTCGCTACTATAGGAGCATTTCAGCACCTCAGAAACACGGAGGCTGGCTCCCTACATAAAGTAGATGCCCTCCCACCCCCACTCCATCCGCCTGAGAGTGATGCTTGGGAGATAACAAACCTCCTTTGAATCTTCCGTCTTTACGAGTTCTGTGCCACTGCTCAGGAAAGCACAATTAGGTACAGTGTTAATACCAACTGATGACTCTACAAATGGAATCTGGTTTCCATCCTACCTGCTTCCTGGAGGGCTTGCTCATTTCTCTGCCTGGTAGAATACAGGCGAGTGTCATACGCCAATGACTTGGAAGCCTCCTTTTCGATTTTATTTGTGTGTAAATCAGATCCCAGGAATGGGAAGCCAGGGGTGCCACTGAGTCAGAGCAAAACCATTGGAGATTCCGTGTTGTTTAGTCAGAAAACAAGGCAGAGGAGAGACCTGGGGTTAGGGAAGGAAGGACTTAAGCTGGAGCCAAGGAGCTGCTCCAAGAGAGAGGGGATGGGGTCCTGAATCCAGTACAAGAAGTCAAGGTGTCTATAGCACTGTGGTGAGTGAGCACCCAAACCAGGAGTCAGAGACCTGGGTTCCAGCCCATGCTCCGTCCCTAAGAGTCACTGTGGCCTTGGAAAAACCATGCCTGCCCGTCGTTTCCTGGAATTACCTCTAGGTTTTTGCACACACTATTTCCTTTGCCTAGATTTCTGTCCACCACTTAATGACTTGTCTTGAGTCTGGATATCCTCTTCTTCTACACCAGGCAAAATCCTATGCATCTTTCTAGACCCCAATCCAACCACCTTCCCCAGGAGGCTCAGTTTAGCTACTTCTGCTCTCTGGGCCTCAGTCTCTAAAGCTCTAAAATGGGACTTCAGCAAGGAAGGTGCTTCCAACATGGCATTCAACATATGACCTTTGCTGATCCTGGACTTTTTCTCATGGCTGGATTACATGGCTCTCCCTTTCACCTAGAAATCTCCTTAGAGTACGATTCAGCTCAAACGTTGCTCCCTTGGCTCCTATAGACAGAAACCACACAACCCCCTGTACATACTCCCCATGCTTGAATAGATCCCACTGGTCTTGGGTCTGCCTCTCCACTAGACATTTCAGGGGCTGCTCACCAGCAGCCACCCAGCCCTCCCACTGCTGCAAGGGCAAAACACACCCTATTGTAACAGGCCTAGTGGTCTTGTGTGTTGAGAAGTATATTTCAG